TAGGTATCTGGGGACCCTGAGGCGCTGCAGGACCGTGTCGTAAGGTAACACGCACAGATGGGGCACTATTGCTGGGGTAGCCTATTCCATCAGCTCCAGCAGAGCAGTGCTGGTACATCTAAACCAGCATCTCCAAGCTGACTGTCACTGGGATGTGCCATTCAGAGGTCTTGCTCTGGTAGGGCTCAACATCCTGTGAGCGACTTGTTTTGTACCGTGTTCAGGTTTTGGGGTTTCTTTTAGCTTTATGTAGCTTTCATATTTTAAGAATGCTACAGATCTTTGTCTTGATAGAGACAAAAACTGTGTTGCAGACTTTGGGGGTGGGATGGGAGGACTTGCAGGTTTGGTAGCTTTTTGGCAAAAAACTGTGGCTTTTGACACCCATTCTATGATGGACTTTTAGGCAATCCCTACTGCTTCATGGTTTGAAAAATCAGCTATGTATCCCCAGTGCCATCAGCATTCTCCATGGCCTGAGCCCACTGTGCTGTCATGCTGTGTGATCTTCAACTCAAGCTGTGGAAACAGAAAGGGCTGAGGGGGAGCACAGGATGAAAGCCACCATCTTGCTTTCCTCCCACTTACTCTAAGCTGGTTTGTGCCCTCTGTCATGGCGCTGGGTTTAAAACTAGATTTGTGTACTCCCTGTGAGTAGGAAATGCTTTATCATGTAGCACAGGAGACATCATACATGACTTGGGGAGCGCTAAAATAATAGTGTAAATAGTATAAGTAATAGCATAAATAGTAAAATAATATAAATAGTAAAATAATAAAATAGTAAATAAAAATATAAATAGTAAAATAATAGTATACATAGTAAATTCTTATATGTGATCAGGTTGTGGTATCTGTAACTTTGGGCAGTAGGACATTGCACTGTGACATGCTGCTATGAGAACTGCTCTTTCTACAAGCTTGGTAAGCAGCTGTATGGATCATTATTATTTTTGTGTTACACTGAGAAACAGGACCCTCCTTCTTACACACCTATGGCTGGTTATTCACAGGGGACTGGAGGGCAAGCAATGGAAATCCTCTGCCTGCCCCACACATTTGATTGACTTGGCCTGTAAATGGAGGAATGGTAGTCTTGCCAAGCCATGCTGTGGGAGCTCTGTGTAACAGTGTTTGCTCTGGTAGCTAACTCACAAGGTGTTGCCTTGGATTCCCACCTCTAAGTCAGGGTAAAAACAGTCTTCTTCACCTGTGCGTCCTTCTTGCCTTTCCACGTTATCCCCTTTTACTGTCTTGCAGTGCCACACAGGCAAGCCATGGGTGACCGGAAGTTTCAGCTTTTCAGTGTTTATCAAGATAGCGATGTAAAGTTTGTATCTATCTTGATACACTTCAGGGGGAACAGAATGTCCCGGGAGGGATGATGTACCCTGGCTGGCAGGGGGGCTTTCCCCAGAGAGTGCTTTGGGAGCAATTCAGGGCATCTACGCAAGGCTCCAGCTCTGAGCCTTCTTCTGGGGAAACATTTCCATGTTCGTGGAGCAGAAATGATCATCTGGCTGGTGAAGCGGGGAGCCTGAGACTGCGTGGTGTGACTACCCCCATCTTCAGAGTGGGAGGAAGTGGGAAAAACACATTCGAAATAAAACCCCCTGCTGCCTCCACCTTGCTGGTTTTCCCCGGAGGAGCTCCGACGGCTCCTGCTGGGGCAGGAGGCCCGGTCTATGCTGGCGTGTGTTTCCTAGCAAGGGAACCCTGCGGCAGGGCAGCGCCGTGGGACTGGAGGTGCAGGGGGTGACCGGGAGCTGTGTGCTGGCTGCTGACCTTGCTCTTGTTAAGCTGCCCCAAGCGCGGTGTGCTGGGGCGCAGCGCCACCGCCGTGGCGGCACCTGGGGGGGCTGGTGTCAGGGAAGGGGGAGCCGCTGGCCGGGGCTGGTAAGAAAAGCTGCTTCCTCCAGCGCTCCCCTGCTGTGACAGAGCTCAGCTCTGCCCTCTCGGGCAGGACGAGAGGAGGAACCAGAGATTCCTCAGCGCTTCTGGCCGGTCTCTGTCAGCTCTTCCTGACGGGGACAGCAGTGTCCGGAGCACCCTGGGCAAGGCCTGGGTGAGTGCGGGAAGCTGACCCGGCCCTGAAGCCATGGAGTAGCCTCGTGTTGGATGTGAGTTCACAGAGAAAACCACCGCAGCCTTCTGCACAGTCTCAGCAAAGCCGCTGGGATTATTTCTGCATTAAATCCAGATGGGGAAGGAAGTGTGAACGGCCCCGGGGACAGAGAGCATTGCAAAACTCAGACAATCTACAGAAAAAGATGTGTTCTTGCACGCTGTGTGTGTGGAAGTGTTTGCCACCGGGACACGGTTGCCCTCAAAGCCCGGGGCTGCTGCGTGGGGCCTGCCCACCCCTGCCTGGACCCCTCTTCAGCTGCCCCGCAGCCCTGTCACCGCATCCCCACCGCAGGCAGCCTGCCTGTGGCTCCTGCCCTCTCCCTGCCAGCCCCGGGGCTGCATGGCCGCTCTGACCTCCTCGGGGAAAGTATCTCCTAAGAGCTCCAGCAAACAACGGTGAGCAAAAGCAGAAGGAGCCTTGTTCCCTCAGTAGGGTGGATGGGCATTTTGAGAACTGGTACCTGCTTTGGGGGAAAACGATTGACTTTATTCTCAGTGGTGTGATGCTAGATTGTCTCAGAACGACAGACAGGGATGTTAAGTAACCCTCAGCGCGGTCACTAAGCATGCTTCCCTTTCAAGAAAAGGGAAGTAGGTTTTTGTATTGCTCTGGAAGAAAATACTTCCCATACAATGTCCTGACCGCCAGCTCTGCACTGGCGTCACAGGAGGAATAGCTCTAGGAAGTGAGCACACCGGTTTCTGCTTATCAGTATCAAGAAAGAAATACATGTAAATGTTGTCAAACAGCATACACTGCTGGCTTTCTCCAAATCAATCCAAGCCAGTGGTCCAAGCACTGGCCTGATCTCAAGAGGAGTACCCCAGAGAAATAGCAAACCAGTAACACATACACAGCAGGAGAATTAAAAAAAGGTAGTGAAGAATCATTCTGGAGTTTAGACTGCAGAAAGCTGTGGTTTCAGAAAGTGGGGAAATCTCAGCCTGGCTTGTCTGCACAAGTGCATGGGTTTCATGTAAATAGCAGAGCTATATCAGTCTTGAAAAGAAGCTGGATAAAGGTCACACCCAAATCTTAGCACCAAACCAATAATTTGCACAACCCGGGATTCTCTTTTGGGCCTGAGAGGTCTGTGCTTCTCAGGCGTGCCCAGAAACTGGGTGGCTCAGGGCCAAATCCCACAGAGCAGGGGTAGTTGAAGGGCTGCTCTGTGGCCACTTGAAGCATAGGGCCAGCCTGTCACTGAAGGCAGCTCCATTTCTGTGTTGCAGGGGGTCAGATCTGCTTTTGCAGGGCAGGTCCTTGACCAGCTCTACCTGCTAAGTATGCTGGTGATGCCCAGGCTGTGGCTGTCCCATGCTGCCCCTCTGCCTCCCAATGGCCCTTGCATGGCCTTGCTGGAGATATTTGACTCGCCACCCTCTGAAGATCCTATTCCTGCCCACACAATGGGCTGGGAACCCACCTCGTGCTAGGTTTTGAATTCTGTTTCATCACCACATGCTTCACTTTGTGCCACTGCAGTACCAAAACTGAGGGTACTGCCACTGCATTAGCCTGCTGAAGAACCAGAGCCTAAATTCATCCAGGCAATGTAATTAATAGTGTGAGAGTTTTATCCATGTAGGAACTGCTTGTGAAATGGCATTTTCATTTCCACTTTCAGATTAGTTCTCTGGCAATGACTAATGATGCACAAGTTGCTGTGCCCACTCTACTTGAGAGACTTTAGCAATGTTCTTTGTTGCGTTACGAGGAAGCCTTCCTTCCTCTGAGGTAACTGTTCCTGGGAAGGGAGTGCTTTCAGCCCCAAGTTGAAATGTGTCCTGGCAACCTACCTGATTTTCCCTGTCCAGTAAAGTCTTTTGAGGATCTCCCTCAGCAGAGGGAAAGCAAACAGCCACATCCCGGTTTTCCCAACACACAGCTGGCATCTTAACCACATTTTTCCTGCCTCCCTTTGAAAATATTAGCAAAAAAGAATTAGGCTCATTCTTCTACAAAATAAACACACTTCTTGTGTGATGTTCATATTTCTGCTGCATGGTCTAGACATTAGCAACAATTAGCTTTATTTTGTCTTAATATAATGATTATCTAGTACAGGAGAAAGGCTTGTACGGCTAAATACAATGGATATCAAGAATGTCATGATTTACTTCCTGAGCAGTGTGCATACCATACTATTTGGGCCAGACCAAAATCAGAGCTGAGTGAACCTGGGAATAAAAAGGAAATCAGGCAGGGGGGACAGGAATAGCTTCCTTCCTTGATCTTAATCCCTTCCTAACGTCAGCAGCCTGCTGGTTTCTCTGAATGAGACAGAAATCAGTGGATTAAGAGACAAATTGACCTTTAATTGTAAACTGGGATATGACTTTACATGACAGAGCAATGGATAATGTTATTTTACATAATTGGTCATAAACCCTTAGTTACTTGAGGTTTAATACTTATTTTTTGCTGTCGACTTTATTTTCAATGCAAAAATAATTTGCAGCCCTCCATTCCACCCCATGAATATTTCCCCAACAAAGTATTTGTTTCTGAAAGTCCCAGATAATGACTCATACTGAGTTAAAAAAAAGGAGAAGCAACATCTTTTTAAAAGTATTAACAATATTCTCTCACAGGCAGATGTTCCCCTTCACTGCACAGCATGAAGAGGGGAAAAGGAGCAGAAAAACTGCAGTAAGAAAGGGGGAAAAAATGCAAAGATCAACAGAAACTTGTGAGGCTGCAATATTACACCTAACTTTGGAATTTCCTACATGTTGTGCAGACAGTGTGGAGTTGAGGAGTTGAGGGTCTCTTTGTGGAGTTCCAGGTCATGAGGAAGTGAAGTCATGGAGCAAGTGCATGAAGCATGTGCATCCCTAAGAAAGGTCCCAGATTTTTATTTAAAAAAAAAAACAAAAAAAAATGGAAGAAGCAAAAATAAATCTGACATTCAACTATTTTTGGGAAGTTATTGGGTCAAGATGCTCTGGGAAGCCCAGTGGAGGGAAATGGGTGGAAATCAAGATATTGTCCAAACACATTTCTTATTCTGCAGTCTTGTTACACTGAGCTCACTCGATTCAAAAGTTGTTTATGAAGTATTTTACAGATGGATGCGCTCTTTATCCAAAATGCAAACTGCTTAGCCAAGGGGCCTCACATCTGGATTAGTCTGCAGATCAAAACAGAAAACAGTAGTTGCGTTTTTAAGCGGCTGCTATCTGTAGCAGACATAATAGGAGTGATGATCACTGAAGACATTTATATCAATACAATTTGCAAATGAAATTTATTTCTCTATTTCTGACAAGCCACAGTGTTCTGGTGGAAACATTTCAGAATGTTTGGGTGTCTGATTTTCTTTATCACTACCACAGTTGAAACTTATTGCCTGGTTGCATGCACTGGTATTGGGAAAACCAAACCTGGTTAAAAACAGAAGAATAGGTGTTTAATGTGAAAATTAAGTAACACAAGTTCTCACATAAACTGCTAATATACCAAAGCCCCTTATCCAAAATCTTGTCTCAAACTAAAAGGAAGATTGAAGCTTTTAGGAAGATAGTATTCCAGAAATGCCTTCTGTGAGCCAGCCTTCCTTACCCTAACCCCTGTTGATAATTAACTTAATTAATTTCATGTCATAGGGAAAAGAAACAAATTGATTCCTCAGCCTAACTGTGCAGCACTGTTCTGCAAGCTTCGTATCAGCAGGTTTACAGCGTGTTTACACAGGTTATAGTCAGCAGCTAGTTGTATTTTTGGCACAAACTGTCTTTCATCTACACATAAATTATCTTTTTGTTTCCTTTTTGCTTTATCTTGTAATTTATTCTGTTGATTTTTAATCATTTTTGGAAGCGGTATGACTTTTTCTTGGAATGCATTGTACTATCATAATGTTAATGTGGACAAATTTGCTAGCTGTCTTCAAAGAGCTCCCATCCTGCAAGGAACACAAAATGCATGGCTTTAGATATGGATCAGGCAGCCTGTTCCTACTGTTTCATGGCTAGAGATGGTCTAAAAATGGTGAAACAGCTTCACTGAGCCCAAAATATTTTCTGAAAAGGACTTGGGTTCCATTTCTCTGCCTCCGAATCTGGTTTCAAGGCTGCTGGGAAACCCACTGCTGATGCCTCTGACTGAGCAGCAGACAGCCCTCTGTGCTTGTCATAGGTGCTCCTCATGGAGCTCTGGGGCAGCTCTCCTGCTGTGCCAGCAGTCTTGGGCTGCTTCAGGAGTATGGGACAGGAATGCCCTCTCTGCAGTCCAATTACCTGATCATCCAAAAAAGACAGCCTCTTGTGCTCCCAGTTCCTGGAGCACAGACCATAGACCTAGCGCTTGAAATCCTGAAACTGTCATCAGAGCTTTGCTTTCAGTGTTGTGGTAAAAAGCTGGAAGTGATGAGAGTCTGGCTTGCTCCAGTTGTCTTTGCTGGGAAAGGAAGGAATCTCCACACCTGTAGTGCTTTCTCCTGCTCAGAATCTTTATGCTGGTGGAAGAGAGGACAAGTGTGCTAGTGAAATGATCCTGGTCAGTCCTAAACAGTGCTACTGGGGAATCCTCACTGAATTATGACAATCCCTATAAACCAGTGTTGAAACAGCCCAAAAGTGCCTGCCTTGAGTTTTGCACAAGGTCAACTAAACATGTTTTTTTAAAGTCGGGGCCATATTCCAGCTTACATGAAAATATGCCATCTCATTCATGCTACTGTAGTGTGAATTGCACATACATAGTACTGCAGGGCAGTTGTTGATCTGCTCCTTTTCTCCTAGCGTGTATAGGATAGCATAGCATGGGCTGTGCTATGCTGTTAGGCACTGCAGCAGAGAGGAGGCAACTATAGGAGCAGCCGAGTTCAAAGCGAAAGCTTTCTGCAGCCTGGAGGTTTTGCCCTCCTCCATCTTCAAGGTTTTTGCATCTGTCCCATAGCCACCAGAGAGAAAGATACACACACTCATATGCCAACCCACAACAAAACCCACACAGCAGAGCTGAGGAGCTGTCACCCGGAAGCTGACTTACCCTAAACTACTCTGCTATTTCTCATCACACTACATCTGGGTCTGCTGTCACTGCTGCGTCCGGATGAGCTAGACCCAGTTGCCAGGACTAGTTTGGCCTGGATGTGCAGTGGTCTCTGGTCACCTCTTGAGGTTTTGTTTTGTTTTCCCTCTCAATAACGCAATTGTTCTAATCTGATGGAAAAGAAGTCCAACCAAAACAGCCAAGAGCACAGAACACCACTCTCCTTTTTTTATTTCCCCTATCTCGTCTAGAAGAGTTGATTTCCATAATGTTTATTTCCAACAGCCACTTCAGCTTCCTGCATCTGGTGAGTTCTTTGCATTTTCTTTTTTTTTTCTTCTTAAAAGTCTTAATGTGAATTGATGTTCTTAATCAAATTCAGTATCTTTAGTTTTACTAATAAGATTGTGAAATTGGTTCACCTAATCAGTTTTATTTTTAATACCATTTTTTAATTACTCAGTATTGTGATAACCTGTTAGACAGTGGTCGAATCCTGCCTACAATATGTTGCAGAGTTTGTTTCCACTTGAGTGTAAAAAGGCCTTGTATAAAAGTAGAAAGAGGGGTGTGATGGGCCGTGCCATGCTAGTATTTCCCATGTTAACTAATGTAAGAAAAAACAGAGAAGATGAGAATTGCTTGAAAGATGGTGGTCTGATTCTGACCCCCTTTGTTGTTATATGAATTACAAACCCATAAGAGATAAGTCTGTGTAAACCTGCAACACCTCAAAGGATGCTTTCTTCCCCATTTGTGAGGCACATCATAGCTATAATTGTTTTGCTTCATCTTAAATGTCCCCAAGCAAATTTGGGTGAAGATTTTATTGTAGGAATTTGAGAAAGGTGAAATTTAGGTTCTTAAGGGCTGAAGTGAGATTGAAGGTATTTTTAATTTGCCAGCATATCTGTCACTGGCTCTGGTTCTAGCAGCTGCTTGGCCCTGCTGACTCTAACAAGTTCATCTACCACCTTCTAAGATGAAAGGGTTTTGTTTGCTGTCTAAATGGCTGCGGCTGTAACTCTTTGCTTTCATCTCACCCCACGGCTTCTTCTCCTCTGCATTCTGGGCCATCCATGGCATGCTCTTGGTGTGGTACCCCTTGGAGAGCGGTATGTATTTGTGCACGCATGCACAGATGTGTGCACATCCATTTCCAGATTTTCCTCCAAAACTGCATATTATGATGCTTTAGTGGTGGTGGAATGTCTTGTCACATTGCCAATGAGTGGCAGTTAATCTAAAAGGTGAATGAGAAGGAAGCACACAGAGGCGGGAACCATCGCTCTGATGCAGTCCCCACAAAAAAAATCTGAATGTGGCTTTAAGATTTTGTAATTTCTCCTTCCAGATGTGTTTTCACCTGTGAATGGGGCAAGAGTGTGGCTGTGGCATCTGCAGGAGGCTAGCTCTAACCCGGGATTTACCCTGAAGAGGAAAAAGGTAGGATAAATGAGATTTAGTTGTTAGGAGGCACATCTGCCAGCATTTTTTTTGTGTACATGCCCATCTGGTGCTGCTGTCAGAATAAGGTGGGATTGTGCATTGCACTGTGCTACTTGCTATTTAAGGTTTCCCAAACCCACCATTTAGACCAGTGGGTGTTTACAGATGTTCCAGTAGAAAAGACCATGCACATATACTTACTTAACTTTAGAACGGGGTTTAATCTAATTTTTCAGAGAGAGATCTGATGATGTAGTCATACAAGAGAAGTCAAGTTTACCAGAGAAAGTGAGGTACAGACTTGATGTGAATACCATGTTTGAGACTTGGGCAGCAGCTACAGGATAGAAAAACCCCACATGTGCTTGCTTCCTGCTAAGTTGAGAGAGTAGGCCTTGATGGGGCGCAATACCAAGTTTTTTATTGACTAGATTAGGTGTTGCAAAGCAGGAAAAATAATAGTTTTGTATTTATGGTGAATCTGTAGTTTTGTAAGTAACCTGTACTTACTAAGTTCCAGAGCAAATTAACATTTTAAAAATGGGCTTGATTTTCATGTATAGCAAGACATAAATTCACAGTCCATCAGCAGGGCAAAGTGGCTGTATATTCGTGTCATTCAATCCCACTTCAAGGGAATTTTACTGTGCCAAGCAGCTTGAGATGGTCTCATGTCAGAGGAGCATCAAGCCTTATGTGATTGCTTGTATCAGAGGGCAGTCCCTATATCCACACGCATCACAGTAAAACCATGAAGCTGGAACTACATTTCCGGAAAGTTACTAAAAATACTCTTCCAGCCTGGTGACCAGCTTTCTCAATAAAATGTTTATATGTAGAAGTTTACTAGATCCTGGCTCAGCTGCTCCATTGGGAGTGTGAATTTGGGAATGAAATGAGAGCACTTTCTCTTCTTCATAAACCCAGCAACCAAGAGACTGATGCTGAAGTTGCATCAGCTGGTAACAACTGCTGGTGCCAGTGATATCAGGGAGGAAATCTGTTGTACAACACGGGGCAGTCATATAAATCTTTAAAGATGTCGGTGGATGCTTTGCAGGATACGCAGAGCACACAGGAAATGAGCAGAAATCGTGGTGGCGGTCTTGCAGGCTGCGGCACTGGCCTGTCTTGGAGAACAGCAGGTCTGCACCAGCTGCAGCTCCTGAGAAGCTTTTCTTGGTGACTCTTTCTGATAAATAACTGGGAGGACACCCAGGCAAGGCGACGAAATTCTGCTGTTTCTCTTTTTGCCTTTGCTGTGTAGCTCTAGATGCATAGCGCAGCTGGCTGAGAAGCTTTAAATGAAAAAGATTTTCAAAGAAAAATACCTCTTGTCTCTAAAGCAAACACACCAACCCCTTTTTCTTTATAAAATGCTGTTATTCTATAGTTTTCATTAAGTAACAGCTGAATGTCACTGAATGCACTGTTTAAGTGCTTAATTTGATTTGGCATTGATCATACAGTGAAAAATTGCTGATTTTCTAATAATGCTTTTGATAATTGTTTGAAAAGAAATAAGAGACATAACTATGAAACTTGATATTCCAGGCATCATACTATGCAGCTTAATATCATTTCCAAATCAGGTTCTCACTTTTTGGCCAGTGGTGTGTGGTTTTATTAAATCAACAGTTTTCAAACGTTTCCATGCCATGAGCAGAGCTTACAGCTAAAAAATGTCTTGGGATGACCCCAACATAGTAATTAAGAAAGGAAGTTGGCTGCAGCTGTCTCAAGCCCACTGTTAAAGCATTGCAGCTTTAAAATACTGGTCAGAATCACACAGATAAAATTAAGTGATGTAACAACAAAATTTGTAGCCTGCAGCCTACCTTTAGCTCTCCTTCCCAAAACCAAATACAGTTTCATATGTGCTTGTCATAATTTAGTTGTGCTTGAATTTTTACATCAGTGAAGAATGGGAAAAACTTCGTAATCCACCAAAAGCATTGGTCTGCAGTAGAAGGGGAGACTTTTGTAGCAAGCAAAACCTCTGTAATGCAGCAGTGAGCAAGAGCACTTGCAGTCATGGGTACAAAACCTTGGTGTATCATATCTAAGATGGGCAGCTGCCAGAGTAGCAGGGAGCAGTAGTGCCAGCAGTCATGTTCTTGCTGGAGGCTGTGCTGGAGGATCGCCACCACTGCTGGCATGGCAGCTGGAGGATAGCTGGGAACACACTCTGAACACTGACCACAAGTGTGTGCTCCTCACAGAGAGGCTGCAGGAGCATTTGCTCGTGCCTGGTCCTGCCTGTGGCTGTGCCTGGCATTTGTTAAAGATTCCTTGATCTTTCCCACCCTGCCCAATCACTTGCTGCTGTGTCTGCATTGTATTTCTTTTGCACAAGGAATTGTTTGGTCTTTGGTTGCAGAAGCCAAGGAGAAGTGTTAATTCCTAAGGAATGAGGGTGGCACTGAACTTGGCATGCTTGTCTCTACCTGATGAAATGTATGAACTCACTGGAAACCACATGAGGATTCTGCTGTGATCTGGGGGGTCAGTGGTGACCTATCACATACAAAAGACTAAGAATGTGCTGGGAAGGTAACACATACTTCTCCTGGCAGGAGCTGTCATGGAGGGCTGTGGTTATGTACCATGCACAATGAAACTTGTCACACGCAACTGTGAGCATGGTGTACCAGTCTCAATAACTGACACTTGACCCATGTGAGGTTGTTGTACCATCTGGTGATTCCTCTTCCTTATGAGTGACAACCTCTTCCTTATGAGTAGCAGTAAGTTTTTTTGAAGGTTATCCTGGTTTATGTCAAACTATGAGACTGGCTGTCCTAATATAAAAGTGTGAGACCAACACTCCTGCATAGTTTGGGATGGTATCTGGTTTGGTTGTCTCCTGTGCATATGGTCATTGAGAGAATACAAAACCTGTCACTCTCACAAGAAAACAATTCTTTTCTTCTGCTGACTGCCATGCCAGTGGACACAGCTTGCAGCTTGCCTTTGTTTTCTTTTTTCATTAAATGATTGTGTATAAGAACTTGTAAAGTCTTTAAGGTTCAAAGTTATTGAATTAATGACATACTGAATTATCTGTTAACTTCCTCTCATCATCTATGTGCTTGTGTTTTCCTCATTACAAAAATGTATTACAAAACATCTGCCTTAAAAGTCCCTCATGTAAATTCCTTTATTTCCATAAATTTAAATGCAGGTTTTAAAATTCACTTATCCTTCAGTGGAGTTTTAATTCTAGATGAAAAGCCATTGGGTAAAATATCTTTGAATTTGAATCAAGTCCATCAGGATTCAGAAATAAAGCATGGGAAATGTTCTCATAATGTTCAAATGTAGCTCTCCAAAAATATCTCTCTTTCCATATGTGTGATCATTTTCATGCAAAATATGTAAAAATCAAGAAAATCAAGGAAAACTTTCTATGCTTCCCACTGAAAACCAGAAACTCTGCATTCAGATTTACCATAGTGTGGGGATTTGCATGATCTTTAAACCAACTGAAAGCCAAATAGATGTCAGCTTTAAGTACCTCAAATGGCTTCTCAAAATACTGAGCTGAAGAATGAGTGAAAGGATTTATATATTACTTTTGGTGGTAAAGAGTAGAGGCTTTTCTCTTCTTAACCTATTCCATATGACCCAGTGCTGTCCACAGTATTCTATGTTTTATATGAAAGTGACAAGAGATTAAGGTTATACTGTTGTTGAAGTAAAGGAAAATAGGTCCTGAAATATATATTCTGCTATGGCATAAGGTTGGTGTAAGATACAGATCAAAGTAAAATCTGAACTACCAGGTATAATTTGGGCTAAATACAGGGGAAAAAATAAGAAAACTTGATGGTATGTTTGTTTGAAATTGAGCTTTAATGATAACTGTGCATGGGACATAGGCAATTTAATGTAGGCAAGTATACATGCCCATTTATTGTGTTTAGTTCAATTTACTACAATTAAGGGATTCTAGGGAGCCTACATAGTGAGAATTATTTTCCTGTCTGTCCTGTAAATACATATTAACTCTTCTCCTTGTGTGGGTTCAGAGCATGAATGCCGAGTTGTGGGATAGATTGTGGAAGGCAATTCCTTTTTTAATTTATAAAACAAATCGAAAGGGTGGAGAGCTTAAGTCAACAAACGCAGGCAAAGTCATGATAATTGCATGGTTTGTATCGCACCTTCTGCCTGTGAAGCAATCGAAATTATTTCCAAGCAAACCCTTCAAATTTTTAACATTTTCATGTACATGCGTGCACACACAAAATTTTTGGTTTAACTTGAAATGATGGCAGTTTCCTACAGCTGAAATCTACACTAAAAATGTAAACAGTCTTATATATAAAGAAACAAGAAAAAGCTTTTCGTTGCTGGCAGTTCTAAGGGGAAAAGCTAAAATTGTCAGCCAGTTTCTCAGTGGTTTAAAATAAACAACCAACCGAATTATTGTTGCTTACTTTACTAGCTTTGCTCATTAACTCTAGAAATTTAACATTCATCACAGTAAAACTGAAATGATATGCAGCAAATATGTGTTCTTCCCAAATAAAAAAAAAGAAAACAATATGTTTTAGCAAGGAGTCATTATTGTGAATTGTTTGATCAACTGAAGCATCGTTATTTGCTGCTCAAAACACCTATGTGTTCAACACATTTTATTCTTATCACAAAATGTGCAAAAAATAATCTTCCATCAAATTGGCTAATTCAGTTCTAACTATCATTTCCCTCCTTCACCTTTATCTCACAATGAAATCAAACCTATGCATATGTATAATTTAATGAACATGGAGAACCTCCTGCTCCTCCCCCTGAGGTTAGGAGCAAAAGATCTGGGCTTGAGAGCCTCCTCATTTTGTGGCAGGCATTTTATAAAACCAGATCAAAGTTAAACCTGAACAGACCTCTGAAAGTAACCTTGGAGATCTGGTGAGGGATCACATGGAGGGCTGTGGGGAAATACTTCTTAAAATACTTCTTAACATTAAGGAGGGTGTTACATCACCTGTATCATTCATATATTAACTTTTAGCTATACTGTTAATATTGATTACTTGGTAGTGTTTAAAAGACCCAGTCAAGAAGATCAGGTACAGTGCAAACAAGGGAAAGTCCTCTCCAGGTTAGAGTCAAAACATGCAGGAGCCAGCCCTCACCGCTGCACTTAACACAGGCTCTGAAAGTGAGGAAGCCTTTCTGCCTGCAAATGCAAGTACATACACGGAGTTGCTAGGCTGTTAGATTTAACATTTTGCCATGTTACATATCTGCATGATTTAATATAAATCCATACATCTCTTTAACAATAAATAATTGTAGCATATTGTAAAGATGTGTCTAGAAAATTTAATGGCTGCATACACAGTAAAAATCTAATTGTTTACAATGTGTGACCATGTAATCTGTGTGTAAGTGTATGACTATTATCTGTTAGTTACAAACCTAGGTTACTGCAAATCCAGATTTATCACAGCAGTCATTTCTGTCAATGTGTGCAAATGTGTACCTATACGTAGAAACGGCGTAATGTAAAGACCATGGTCGTTTCAATAATGCTTCCATTCTTTCATGGAAAATATATATGCAGGTTTTCAAACGACAGTAAAATATCTTGCCTTGAATATGCATCTGTATTGTACAGCAATCTGTCATGTAGTCTTTTCAAATGGATGAATATCAATGTGTGCATATCTATATACATGTCTATATACATATATATAGACATATAAACACACATGCTTGCACATATGGATGTCATATTTTTGTACATGGATGTATAGATTCATTATTGAAACAGTTATGTTTTTAAATATACACTGCTTTATTTCCAACATTTTTGTGTATGTATATATATGCATATACTCTTCTATGCAATCAGTCTAGCAAATGATGCATCATTCTGCAAGAAATGACAAATGGTTATTTAAAACTAAAACCTATTAGTTGTGCGTGAAAGGGAAATGGATACTTCATGATGATATTGCTTGTATCTCTAGATGGTAAAAAAATGCCCCCAAACCAAAAATAGAAATAGGGAAAGGGCTAGGCTTTCTGGAAATAAAACACAATTATTGTTGAAGGTTGTAAATAAAAGAGTATTTCACATTTTGTCAGTAAATAAAAACAAAAACAAACTGGGGAAATTTTGAAGAGTTAAACTTGTAAAAAAAAATTTACAAAAATAAGTTGTGCCTTTTTGATTTGTCTTAAACTTCAAGAAAGGTGAACTGTGTTAAAAAAGGATGTGGCATGAAAAATTTGAAGTGGTTTGAGGCCCAAAGCTGCAAACATTTCCACATGCGAGTAATTCTGTACACACAGTAGTCTCATTGAAGTAAATTACTCAAATATTATGCATTTTATATAATCAGTCCTTCAGTTTGACTAC